TCTTCTAGCGACCTCGCCGGTAATTAATAAATCGATAAAAATAGTATATATGTTTATATGTTATTACAGCCTTTTTTACGTGAGTAACAAACATACATACAAACTCATACACTTTTTCATTTATAGTAAAATGAGTTTGAAATTGCCAATCCGCCTTGAACAAGCGTGGTGAATAATGCTCAACCCTATTCTGTGTGAGAAGATGCCTATACTCATTAGTGGGCACTGAAAAGATAGTCCGATGATGACGATTATACATTTAAAGACGTTAAACTTCAATACTCAATACTTTATTGCTTTCCACACATGTGGTGATAAACAAAATAATATTTAGGACACAATGTGGGGCACAACAATATAAGTTTTGGAGGGAACGCACTTTGACATGACATTCCTAGAAAAGAGAAATATAAGTAACCTACAATAAAATCAATATCAAATTCACTACAAGATAAAAGTCTAATTGAAATTGGGAAATTTAGGAGTCGAGTCATTTTTTAAATCTTAAACAATCAAAATTAAATACAAAGTCAGAATCATAATAAAATAAAAAACCATAATCAAAATTAAAATTAAAAATACTAATGACGTCAAAGTCCGCCATCTTTTTTTATGGCATAATCCGGTAAACGAGCAGACGGATCACCTGATGGTAAGCAATCGGCGTCGCCCATGGACACCTGGAACACCAGAGGCGTTACAAGTGCGTTACCGGCCTTATGGGTATTATGAGTTTGAGGATCGTTGGGGATTCAGGAATTGGGAAAGGGGAGGGTAATTGGGCCTCCGGTAACCTCAGTCACACGACGAAACACAACGCAAGCGTTGCTTCACGTCGGTTTTCTGTGAGGCCGTGGTATCACTCCGGTCGAGCCGGCCCATTCGTGCCAAAGCATGGCATGGCAATTCACCTGTTCTTCGTACTTTGGCCGCGCTTAATGATCTCCTGGATTCCAATCCAACTAGTGATCTGTTTGCGGACGGAGGGAAGGAAATTTTATCAGAATGCTTGAAGTACTGCGAGAGAAACTTATGAATGGTGTTAACCCTTGTTTTAACTAAGTTTTACTTTTCTTTTGTTTATGTTTTATTGTTGTAAATATATCAGTACTGTAATTGGATTTTTATGCCGTTGTGACTGTTAAATAAATAAATAAATGGCTCTCCCATACTTAATCTTGTTCATTGATGCATGCAGGTAAGAAAATAAAGATTGACTTAGTACCGAGTATACCGAGAATAAACTATTCATATACTAAATTATATACATTTTTATCAAACCAATATATTAATCATTTGCCGGTTCAGTAGTCAATCAATGGTCACTGTACTGAATAATGCTGTATTGTCTTACCTGCATAGTAAATAGCCATGCTAACTGAACATGAGTGCGTGCAGTTTAAACAAGATGGCGGACTTTGGCGCCACTGGTGTTTTGAAGTTTAACGTCCTTTAATGTCTTTTTTTAAGGGGGAAAATATTGCTCCCGGCTGGATGAGGCGGGAGGGAGTGTCAGACTCTTACTGACTAAAAACCACCCCGTTCCTTCTCCTGCACTTCGAGCTGGAGCCCCAGTAACCCGTTAGGTTCTCCGCGACTCCGCGAATGTCTAATGATTTATCATCATCATGATGGGCCTATCTCGTAAATGCCCACAGCTTAGTAAATAGCTGTGCTGACTGTCTTTGGTATATATATATAGGCAGTGATAACAAACACTGTGTATGTTCCCTGCATTGCAGTTGATGATATAATAGTGGACGTCAATGCTATCTAAAGAATCAGCGGTAATTGCGTTAATTACAAAACTAAGATAATAATATTTATACACGGGTTTGTCTGTTGAATTAAACATTGTAATTTTTTCTACACGTTTCAATTGTTCATTTCGTAAAATAGCTTTAGTATTTTAGTATACATAGGTGTGACGACAAGTACCTACCTTAAGTTAGTATTTTGAATTCAGACGATAAATACATACTTAAATTTAAAAAAGAAAATTACTTTTTAAAATGTAAAAACTTACTACTGAGTGGAGCTCACTCAACGTCAGTAGACGTCGCGGCAGGCCCAAAAGGAGATGGCGGGACGAATTAGACATATAGATGTCATAGGAAAAGGATTGGCCGCAAAAAACTTTACATACAGAGGAGTGGAAGGAGGGTTTTTTTTTTTTTTTTTTAAGGGGGGAAAATCATCGAATGACTGCTCCCGCCTGGGTGAGGCGGGAGGGAGTGTCAGACTCTTACTGACTAAAAACCACCCCGTTCCTTCTCCTGCACGTCGAG